AGAGAGAGAGAGAGAGAGAGAGAGAGAGAGAGAGAGAGAGAGAGAGAGAGAGAGAGAGCACTGACAGTGCTGCCAGTCTGGAGACTCTGACGTTCTGAATTGAACTGCAAAGTTCGAAATTTTAAGTTATATATGAAGTTATGAACATAAATTACTAAATCCAAAGTTCAAAGTTAATCATACTTTTTTCAAAAAAAAAAAATCTGTTTCTTTAGTTGTGTGCCTGCTTTGCACTGTTTGCAACTCTGCATGTCTGCTAGTTAAATGTGCCTGTTGATTTGCTGCAAGACAAGTGCTCTGGACAAGTTCATTCCGGGGCTGCACAACAAGACCAACACAGATGAAAAAGCATATAAACTTATAAAGCCCTAATTACGCACAATGGTGATGAGTCTGATGACCTCAACAAAACAACAGAAGCAAAACCTGACATCGTAGGCTATCACCAGACCCTGCGAATCTGCCCTGCCACCCGCACGGCAGGGGTCTGTGTCCACGGCCCCCCAACCGCAGACGCAGACCCCGCAAAACCCACCCGCCTCCTCGCGATTCAGAGCAGATTGCACCTCTGCCCACACTCACGGTCACCAAAAAGAACAACTCCCACCGTGATGTTATTTTTGCAAACCAGCAGAAATACCCTACCACCTGCACGGCAGGGGCCTAAGGCCCCACAAAACCCACCCGCCTCCTCACGGTCTAGGGTAAACCGTAACGTAATTGCAAGAACAGCAATCTTAGGTGTTATAGAAAAAAAAGCTGTGACAAAAATAGGTGCTCCTGAAAGACTCCCCTTCTTCCCCTCCTACCCATCCAGCAGTCCCTTGCGGCACTCCCCCATCAGAACTGACGTAGGCTTACTTCGTAGACTACCTTCTTCCCCCGAATAGAACGTACGGTCATTATAGCTGTATTTAGACTATGTTTCAGTCTAAATACATCTATGATGACCGTACGTTGTATTCGGGGGAAGAAGGTAGAGATCATAAGGAGGTGGTCAACTACCGTCATCACCCGAGTAGAATGCCTGTCATGATCACTGCATCTGGACAGGAAGTTGCCCCAGATGCGGCTATATGACTAAGTGCTCCATTCAGGTAAAGGCTGTAGGTATCCACATTGAAGCAGTCAATGGACCGGGTATGCTCCAAACCAATCATGAACCTGAGACATCGGGCCTCGCTCCACTGCTCACCAAATGTGCAAAATGAGAATGAATCTACAGCCAGAACATGGGAAGATGTGGGGAGTACTGGCGCAATGCGCATCAAGAATGCTAGGAACGTACAAGCACCTTGTGTTTACAATAGCCCGTCTCCTGCTTTTTTTTTTTTTTTTT